GGCTAGATGGCCGCTTGTTTACTTTCAAGCCTTTAAGTCCCCAGATGCTATAGGTCTCGATAGCCGGGCATCATCAGCCTTCTTCACCACACTTACTTATGCACACATTTGTCTTCAGCATCTATGTGGGAAAGGTGATCACACAATGATGGTTTTTGTTCTTTGGTGTCTGCTACCTGATCCCTTCAACACCTCGTGTTCCCACAGGCTCGTGTGCTTCTTCTCTGTGTTTTGTTGCTTCCGAGCTAGATTGCCTTCGAGCCTTTAAGACTCCAGACGCTGTATCTTTTGATAGCTGGGCACCATCAGCTTTCTTCACCACATTCAACGATCATGTCGGGAAGGTGGGTATCATGAAATGACCATTTAGCTGAGCAAGGTGCTCTTATATTAAGGGGTGCGCACGAGGAGGTCCAGTGTCCCACCCTACTACTAAACCTATAAATATATGCACATAGTCCATTTCCCCCTTAATCTTAAATATAATTACATATGTACATGTCTGTATTTAGGCTTCTATGTATGTCCTTTGCCTCCTACTCCTTTCCTCTATTTCCTTACGCTTTCCTCCTGTCCCACTACCATGTTCAGCCTTCATTCTGGTTTCAGTAATTCCTCTCAGTTACCTTCAGTCCTCTTTTTTAGAATTGTGTTGATGTGTTAAGCTGGGTTGTCTGGAAAAACAAGACCAGTGACACCCATATATGGAAACATCGGACAGGGTAACTTATGACAAAACTATAATAATTTATGAACCATGAAGGGTTCATGAGGGAGGGGGCAGTGGGGAGGGAGGGGGAAAATGAGCAACTGATATTAGGGGCTAGAGTTAGGGGCAAATGTTTTGAGAATGATGAGGGCAACAAATGTGCATATGTGCTTGACACAATGGATGTATGTATGGATTGTGATGAGAATTGTACGAGCCCCCAATAAAATGATTTTAAAAATTAAAAAAAAGAATTTTATATCAAGATATGAACATCCCAGCCCAGCCCAACTCAAGTCCCTAAGTCTGATTCTAGCTGGGGGCTTCTTCAGACTCATGTAACTGTAGGGTGATAATGTGAGAGGTGAAGCAAAAAGCAAGGAGATCACAGGCTGGTATGTGCAGAGTCACATGGATCTAAGGTTTCCATCCTGCAATGGAGATATGGTAGGGTGCAGAAATCTCTCAGGGTTTGGCAACTCACATGAGGCCACCCCTGGAAGCAGACATCTAGAATCCCAGCATGGATGAAGATGAAGGGCAAGAGAGAATGAGAAGGGTCCCACTTTTCTCTCATAAAAAGGTCATACCTCCCACGAGGCACCATCAGGCTGTGACCTCATTGAAAGTAAGACCCCACATCTCCACAAGTGTTGTCGTTAGGTGCCATCAAGTTGGCTCCAATCCTTAGCGATGCTGTACACACAGAATTAAATACTGTGTGGTCCTGTGCCAGCCTCACAATTGTTCCTATGCCTGAGCCCATTGGTGCAACCACTGCATTCATCCATCTCATCAAGGGCCTTCCACTTTTCACTGCCCCTTCACTTTACCAAACATGATGTCCTTCTCCAGGGACTGATCTCTCCTGACAACATGTCCAAAGTATGTGAGACAAAGTCTTGCCATCCTTGTCTCTAAGGAGCACTCTGGCCTTACTTCTTCTAATACAGTCCATGGTACTTTCAATATTCTTCTCCAGCACCACAACTCAAATAAATGCAGCTAGTTTTCTTTGATCTTCCTAATTCAATGTCGAACTTTTACATGCACATGATGCAATGGAGAATACTATGGCTTAGGTAAGGTGCACCCTCGTCCTTGATTTTCATATTCTAAAGAGGTTTTGTACAGCATAAGACCTAATGCAACACATCTTTTGATCTCTTCTTCTACGAGCACTGATTGTGGACCCAAGTAAGACAAAATTCTTGACAAGTTCAATCTTCTCTCCATTTATCATGATTCTACCTATTGGTCCAGTTGTGAGGATTTTGGTCTTCCTTACATTGACTTGTACTCCATACTAAAGGCTACAATCCTTGATCTTCATCAGCAAATACTTCAAGTCCTCCTCACTTTCAGCAAACAAGGTTGTGTCATCTGCATACTGCAGGTTGTTAATAAGTCTTCCTCCAATCCTGATGCCATATTCTTCTTCATATAAACCAGCTTCTCTGATGATTTGCTCACATTACAGATAGAACCATAGTGTGGTGGGAGGATACAACCTGGATGCACACCTTTACTGATTTTAAATCATGCAGTATCCTCTTGTTCTGTACACACACTGCTTTTTGGTCCATGCACAAGTTGCAAATGAGCACAATGAAGTGCTCCAGAATTAACATTCCTCTCAAGGTCATCCATACTTTATTATGGTCCACACAGTTGAATGCCTTTGCATAGTCAATGAGATACAAGTAAACATCTTTCTGGTATGGTATTCTCTGCTTTGAGCCAAGATTCATCTGACATCAGAAATGATACCCCTTGTTCCATGTTCTCTTCTGGCTTGGACTTCTGGCAATTCCACAAGTGTAAAAAAGAAACCCCAAAACCAAACTATACCCCCCCATGGTTTTCCAAGACTGTAATTGTGTATGGGAGTATAAAGCCCCATCTTTCTCCCTTGTATATGCTGATGGTTTTGAACTGCCAATCACGGGGATTGCAGCCCAATGTGTAGCCATTACTTTACCAGGGCTTCAATGGTAAGATGATATAAGATCTAACTACCACAGTGTAATATTACATTAAAGAGAAACTTTGCTTTATTAATTTGGTTAGCTTCACTAAAGTTTGTATAAGTTAGGCAAAATAAAGTACTGATCTCTTTTGCTGTATTTTTTTGTTTTCAAAATAATCAGTTGGATTTCTAGTATTCTCCAAAGGTAAGCAAATAATTTTTAAATCCCATGTATATAAGTATATTTGACACATTTATGTCAATTGCAGTTATTTTGTTAATTGGCACTAAAAAACTCACTTATTTGGCCCATGGTAACATTCAGTACATTTTTTGTAGACCGAACTAATTTTTTGTAACATTTTTCCTTAATAGTATGACAAGATATTTTGTATTAAATTATTTTATTGGGGATTCGTACAGCTCTTATCACAATCCATACATACATCCATTGTGTCAAGCACACTTGCACATTTGTTGCCTTCATCATTCTCAAAACATTTGCTTTCTACTTTAGCCCTTGATATCAGCTCATTTTCCCCCCTCCCTCCCTGATCCCTCTCCCTCATGAACTCTTGATAATTTATACATTATTATTATTTTGTCATATCTTACACTGTCCGCGTCTCCCTTCACCCAGTTTTCTGTTGTTCATCCCCCATGGGAGGAAGTTATATGTAGATCTTTGTAATTGGTTCCCTCTTTCCACCTCACCCTTCCTCCACCCTCAGAGTCTCTTCTGACATCCACTTTGGTCCCTTCTTGTTTCTTTAATGGCCCTTTGCTTCCTTCAGGTATGATGTTCTTGTGTCATCCCACAACTCATCTGGTCTTTAGTCATTAATGTTCACTGTGTCAAATGAAGTCTTAAGTCTTCAGATGGGATAAATTCAGGGTTATATTTGGGCTCTTGTGGATTTGTTTCCTTTTTCTTCAGCTTCAACCTGAGCTTGTATATAAGACAGTCGGTTCTACACTCAGACCTTGGTCTCATTTTGACTGATGAGACTGGACTTCCCCATCGTCGCTTCCCACAGACACGGTCAGTTTCACTTCGGTGTGTCTTACCTGGTGAAGTCTTCACTTATGCCATTAAAACAGGCATTTGCAATGACAAAGTCGTTGGTGTCCAAAAATTCTATCATGTGATCTCCAGCTTCGTTTCTATCACCAAGTCTATATTCTCCAACTACTATTCCTTCCTCTTTGTTTCCAACTTTTGCATCCCAATCACCAGTGATTATTAATGCATCTTGATTGCATGTTTGATCAGTTTTAGACTAAAGATGTTGGTAGAATGTTTCCATTTCTTCACTATTAGTTTTAGTGGTTGATAAACTAGAGTAAGAGTTGTATTGACTGGACTTATTTGCAGGTGTTTAGATAGTGTCCTATTACAGATAGCATGGCACTTGAACATAGACCTAAAAGTTCTTTTGGTGATGAATGCTGTGCATTCATCTCGGATTTTTTACTCTGGGCATAGTAAACCATATTCTCTTCTAATTCAAAACATCCCATGCCCGTCCATTTCAGTTCACTAATGCCTAGGCTACCAATCTTTATGCATTCCATTTCAGTTTTGATGACCTCTAGATTCACACTTTGTATGTTCCATTTTCCAATTATGAATGGATGTTTTCAGCTGTTTCTTCTTATTTTGAGTGATGTCCCATCTGCAATTGAAGTTCCCAAAAGTTTTACTCCACCTGATTCAGTAAGATCTAAACTACTTTGAGAAGGCATCTCTTCCCCCGTAGTATTTCAAGTGCATTTCAACATGAGGGGCTCATCTTCTTTGACTACATCTAACAATATTCTGCTATTATTCATAAAATTGATAAATGTGCCAGGCTAGTAATAGGAAATTGGATTAACCTAATATACTGTAATGCTATCACCATTTCTTATATCCTCACTCACTTATGGCTATGCTAAGTGGCTTTGGGGCAGGTTGGAAAGGTTGCATATTCCTTTCCACAGTAGCAGTGGTGGTGAATCACGGATGTTTGTAATCAACAAGTAATCGATATCTGCTCTTATGCTTCTGGGTTTGTTTGTTTGTTTGTTTTCATGACCTTACTCCCAGCAGCATTCACCGGTCATGTTAGGTATAAAATGACAAAAGTATTAGTAGGAAAATAGGCCAGGGACAGAGAATGATGGTAGCTGGTGCTAGGATTGTGCCGCCAATAGTATATTAGTCCAAGGAGCAGATTATATTTCCAATAGGGAATAGAGTCCAAAGGTAGTAAAGACTAAGACACATTTACAAATTTGTCTTAGGTAAAAATGATTACCATGTCTCTTTATTCTCCATAGCCAGTGCTAAAAGTCTACCAAGATCACAAGCAGCCAGATTATATCCATGAACAGAACCGGCGTCAGTTAATTGCTTCTGGGATCCTAAAGCGCCCAGCAGTACCTGGTCAAAGAAGTTCTGGTCAGCCTGAGTCACCTGCTCCTTTGCTTGAGAATCAAGAGTTAGTAAGAAAGCAGGTACAGTATTAAAATGCTTCACTGAATATTTAAATTCTGTATAGCATTGTTGGTGGGGTTTTAATTCCTAAAAAATGGCAGCAAAGTTTTTTTCTGTCAGATTGTATAATTTATGCCACTTTTTGTATGTTAAAAGAAGACTAAATTGAATGTTGGATGTTATAGCTCATGTGAAAATGTCATCATTATTACAGAAAAAACAAAAACCAATAGCAGCCATTGAAGGTCTTGATGAAGGGCAATAGGGACTCAACCATCTAGAAGGACAACTTTTGTAATTAGTGAAAATTGCAGAGCAAGGAAGTTGTCTTCGAAGAAATAAGTGAATAATAGATCAAGAGTAGCTCACTAGACCTTGGGTACCTATAGATATGGATACCTATAGATACTTGCACTAATATGGATTAAAGAAAGGAACAGAGGTAGTTGAACATATCGTGGGCACACCCCAAATTAAGATAACCATTAAGCGTGTCAGTACTAGGGGATATTGGGCCAGAGTACTAGAAATACAGAGTTGGAAGAAAGCTCTGTTCTTACTGATCTCATACTCTGGATGTGAGCAAATAGATGAGTGAACACTTACATACAGTGCACTGTGATTTGTCATTGTTGATTTTGATGAATTATTTGCTTTAGTGTATTGGTATATATTAAAAACTAGATTTGTATTGCCTCTCATGCTATTGCCTTAGTTTGAAGTTAGCTTAGCCTAAGATAATGCCACCACTTCCTACATCTTTGGTAGGTTATGGTTATGGAAGTGATTGCTTTTGGGTAAAAGTTCTCATTTAAGGTACCAAACGATAAGGGATAAAAAAGTAGACACTTATACCCAGTGGCCAGAGGGGTGGAGAGTAGAGGGAAAGCTATCCTAGGAACATGCACTAAGCTTGAAGAATAAGCAGAAAGTTAATAAAATCGAGAAGGTGTGTTAGATCAAGTTGTCTAAAGAAACAAATCCAGTGGCACCAATTTACATATAAAAAAAGCTTTATATGAAGAAGTATTTATATATCAAGAGGGCATCCCAGCTCAGTCCAACGCAAGTCCATAAGTCTGATGCTAGTCCACAAGCCCCTCTTCAGACTCATGCAGCCACATGCAACGATGCAGGATACATGAAGATCACAGGCTGGTGGGTACAGAGTCCTGTGGATCCGAGGTGCATGAAACACAGCAGGGCTCTGGCAGAGGGGCATAGCGAGAGATTGTCTCTGTTCATCTTGCTCTTATACAAAAGCCTTATGCCCTCAAGGAGGTGTGATCGGGCTGCAACTTGATTCACAAGTTTGACTCCACCTCTAGCCAGGAGTGTCCTGTTAACATAATCCCTAACTACCACAGCAAGTGAGAGGATTGGGTCCTCTAAGAGAAGCCAGTTGAAGGTACTCCCCTTGACTCACCGATAAGATCATCCTGAAGAAAGCAATCATATAATACATTATAATACCTCAGCTAATAGGGTTTTTGAGACGTGAAGAGAAGAGAGAAAGAGAACTGTCTTACATGGGACCAGGAGCGATCCGATCGCCCCTGAATTAATTCCTTGATCATGAGGTGAACTTGAGGAGCTTGAATTTAAAGAGCTGAGACCATTAGTGACAGCCCAGATGGAGGGATTCCAGGAAGGCATGTCTGCTTTCGGGTTATGCTTCCCGTTTGTAGCTGGTAGTGAAGAACCCAGGCAAGGAGATGAAGAGAAATGTGGGAGAAAGAGGACAATGCTTAGGAAAAGATCATTTATTCTGAGAAGAGGGTCATGTTTTGGATATAAATTTGATTGAGTTTAGAATGGAAATGCAGCAATGGGGATTTTTTGAAAGATAAAGAAGGAAGGAATGATAGAGGCTTCTTCTAATTAAGGAAGGGATTGGTTTATCAAATTAAACTGGACATCTATCAGAAAGGCGTTTATAGGAGTTCTACTCTTTATAAATAAATGCCTCCTCGAGAACTCCCACCCAGAGGATTCATATATATTTTCCTTCATGCATGTTATACTTACATTGAATCACATGTCCGTACTGAAGTGGTTGTCATTAGGTGCCATTGCACGAGCCCTGATGCACAGAGCAGAAGGAAACATGGGTGATGATCTGGCACCATCCTCACAGGCTCAAGCCCACTGTTGAAGCCACAGTGGCACTCCCTCTGCCGAATCACAGCATTATGATAAACGGCTCAATGAGTTTCATTCAACAAAGAGCTCTATGGTTGAAACCATATTTCCCTTAAGCTGCACTAAAACTGGCGTTGTGGGGTACATGTGGACTGGTAACTGCAAGGTCAACAGGTGAAACCTCCAGGCGCTCCTTGGGAGAAAGATGAGTCTTTTCAAACCCACAGCAGCAGCTCTACTCTGCCCCACAGAACTGCTAGGAGCTGGAATTGACTCGATGGCAGTGAGGCGTTCCATTTGAGATGTTAAAATAAAATGGTCAGAATTGTGCATGCGCTATTCTCATTAAAGAATTAAAATCGGCTGTGGTCCTGGTTGAACATGGAGAGAAGAGCTGTTTTTTGCTTTTGTTTTTCTGATTCAGAGTATCTACGGATAGCCTTCTGTCTCACATGAGAAGACACAGCTATTGCTGTCATCCCAAGCCAACAAGTACAAATGCACTTTTTACAAAGAATCTCCTTTCATTTTTTCACATCCAACCAACTCCTGAGCTTTCCATGATTCTCTTCCCCGCTTCTATCCTGCAGGGTATGTGTAAGCAGAGCCTGAGAGTGATGATCCCAGTGAACGCAAATGTTGTGGAGAACTTGTTCCACAGAGCTGTGCTAGCTTCCTACGGAAACAACAACTGATGTTCATGTAGTTAGCACCGATGCCATCAGGAAAGACAGAAATCATTTGTATATTTACATTAGCTTTTCAACAAAGCAAGCCCACTCTAAAAAACAAACAAACAAACAAAGAATCCTACTGGTGTCATTCAATTCCAACTCATAGTGTCCGTGCAGGACAGAGTAGAACTGCCCTCTAGGCTATCCGATGCTGTAAATCTTTGTGAAGCAGACTGCGGAGATCTTTCTCTTACTGAGTGGCTTGTGGGTTTGGACTACCGACCTTTGAGTTCGCAGCTGATCACTGAACTGTTGCCCCATGAGGGTTCTCCTGTCCACTTTAGGTATTCTTTTATCTGTAATCCAATTACCTCTGTAAGGTCAGAGAAGTAAGGTAATGCCCACTGGAGTTAGTGTCAAATTGCTACAAACACAGAGATTCCCAGTGCTTGACATAATCGCCTCTCGAATGAAAAGGTAAAGTGTATTAGGAGTTATAATAATAGCTGTCCAAGATCTCACTCACTGGAACACAGTAAGATTGTCAGAACAGGTCAGGAGATTGAGGGTAGAAGCCACAGTCCAAGTGAACGCAGAGCCACTGAACAGAAAGCATGGTGGGATCCCATTCACACCAGTTGAAGGAGAAGAGCAGGTAGGTGATGGTAGGAGATGCTCAGGCTGTTTAGGGGAAGGAAATGGGTACCTGGAGAGGCAGCACTGAGAAGGAGTATCATTTCAACAATAGTTTAAAAACTTCACTTCTGCACCCTAAATGGCTCGTGAAATAGATCACCCTAAATGGCTTGTGAAATAGATCATTAGTCCTTGAAGGTAATTGTATATTAATTTTTATAGCTTTGCTTTTTGAAAAACTAATTTTTAAAAATAGTTTGTTTGTTCCTTAGACACAGCACTCTGCTGAAACATTCGCTCCTTCTCCACCTAAGCTTCCACGTGGCGGTCATGGGAAAAGAGGTCTCCTCAAGGCTAGATATTCAATTTACCCCAAACTAACTTTCAATGACCGGGAAGAGGTCATTAAAGCCAACATCTGTGATCCTTTGCAAATCATTAGAATCGTATCTGAGAATGAAAATCTTGGATTTCTTTATATGATTCCTGCAGTGGCGAGGTCTTCCATTGAATATGATACGTATAATCTGAAGTGAGTTCTCTCTTATGAAGTAATATAGTTAACATTGAACACTGTAGTTAAGATTATAAATATTATGCATAACTGATCAGGGATCAATGACAAGTATGATCAAATATATTAGTTGCCATCAAATGATAAATGTCTCCAGTCACAATTCTATGCAATCTTCCCAGTTAACATTTCTTATCTATTTATGAGCATAAAGCATTGTGCTTCTTACATACTTTCATTGTGCTGCATGCTATACCATCTGTTTTTAACCCATTCTACAAACATACTCTGTGATCACTAAGAAGGCAAATGGCAATATGTAAGTGATCATGCTTGCCTTGTCTTATGGGCCTTTCCGATGGCGCAGTTGTTGGGTGCCCCTGAGTCAGCTCCCACCCTGTGCACAACAGAAGGAAACACTGCCCAGTCCTGAGCCATCCTCGCAATTAGGGAACCAATTTTTCCTGCCAAGAGTCGTTTGGACGTTGATACTATTATCTGCGGGTCACACCGATGAAACATGTAATTCATGCACTCCTAATGTGAACACGGGCCCTGCTTCTCTGTGGTGAGGCATGTGATGTTAGCCGGTGATGATTATGCGGCCTGTGGACTGGACGTTCCCCACCCCTGCTTTACAGAGTTGTGTCCGAGTTTCTTAGTGCATCTATGACAGAAATATAAGAAGTGGGTTTAAGAGAACAGCATTTATTTTCTCACAGTTTAGGGGGCTACAAGTCCAAATTCGGGCCTAGAGGATGCCTTTCTCTCTGTTGTCACTGGGGACCTCTTACCTTCTGCTGAGGTGGCATTCCTTGATTCTCCATGTGGCAAATGTCTTCCACTTCATTTATGCTTGCTTCTCTGTGCCAAATCTGACCTAGACTACCTGGACAATGAGTAGGTTTATGATACATTCTACACTGATAATGGTTTTATTCCTGAATGGGATTACATCCACACGTATAGGGCTTATAGCACATATTTGGGGGAAGACAGCTTAATCTATAACAAGTAAAAATAAGAAAAAATTAAAGACCTCAATAATTAAGGGTATTATGGTGAATGATACACAGTGTCTATCTGTTGCATAGTATACACATCTGTTGTTGGGATAATTAAAAGCATAGGGAGTCTATGAATTACTTTAAAGTTAAGCACAATTCCCCCCTCCAAAAACAAACAAACAAACAGACAGCCAAACCCACTACCATTGAGTTCAATTCAACTCATAGCCACCTTCTAGGACAGAGTAGAACTTCCTCTGTGGGTTTCTGAGACTATAAATCTGTAAATCAGCAAGACTAATAGCTGATAGCATCGTACAAACCCGAGCCGATTGCTGTTGAGTTGATTCTGACTCATACTCATCCTATCGGAAACTGTGGAACTGTCTCCTAGTGTCTGCAAGGCTGTGAACTTAGGGAAGCACTGGAAGCAGATGGTCACATCTTCCTCTAGTGGCTGATTCAAACCACTGACCTTTTGATGAGCAGCTTAGTGCTTAACCACTGTGCCACTGGGGCTCCCGTGATAATGTAGTTAGTAGGATTTATCATAGGACTTAAAAATAATACTGACTTTCTTCTGTTGCTGATTAGTTGGCAACAACAGCTGTTCACCCAGGAAGGGGCATTGAGGAAGTAGAAAATCAGCTGATATGGGGTCCTACAGACCAGAATGCCAGATTGTCCCAATTCAGGAATCCTGTGGACAACAGCCCAGCCAATCCCTGCCACCCCTCAGGGCTTGCAGCTGGGGCTAGACCCCAGGGTCCTGTTTCTCCCCAGCTCCAAGGATAGCCCATCTCAGTCCACTGGGTACTGCTGCCCTGGCTTCAGTCCTCTGTGCGTACTGAGGATGTTCCACGAAGTATCCCATCAGACTGACTCCATCCCAGCCCTCCCTCTGTTCCACGAGGTACCCTGGGAGATCTGGGAGACACAGCCCCCTCTCAGGCAATAAGAGACTGTGCAATAGACACTTCCCTTCTACTTGCACAAAAGGTCTGCCTGTCAGGGACCTCAACATTCATTGTAGACTTGATTATGCTGGATTGAACTTGATACTTGGTACTCTTGTCCAAACCTGAATTTGTTCTAGGCTCAAGTATTTCTTGCTTGTTCCATGACACAAATTTCTTCCCTGGCTTTTTAAATATTGATGGTGGTCTTTCTTATTCATTATTTGTATTTATATCATTATGTTATTATTATATCCTTAGCACTTTACTTTCTTTTTGTTTTTAATTGTTTCTGTTGAGTTTCCCACTTTGGGAAGCACAGAAGGAGTAGATGTATAGAGATAATAACTGGCGCAATAGTTTATCAGGGATTTGAGGGTAGGGGTGGGAGATATGGAAGGTGAGTGGATGTGGGAAGCAAACAATAAATGTGGGGGGGGAGGGAGCACAAGAACTGATTGTGATTATGTATATACAACAAATTTTAAAAGTGATTTAACCATGGAAGTGTATGATATGTGAATACAATATCAAGAAAATCATGAAAAAAAAGAAGACGAAAGAAAGAAACCAAACTTGACCAATGTTTACCATGGGTGAAGGGGAATAAGTTGTTGGGTGAGGGGCATTGAGTTTATGTCAATGGTGGTAGAATCATTTGGAAATGGATATCAATAATGTTGTACAATGCGAGGAGTATAATCAATGGCACTGAATTATGCAAGTAGAAGGTGTGGAATTTGAGAATGTTCTATGGTGTATATTTTTGCCACAATTAGAAAAAGTAATAATTATATGAATAACAATGAGTACAAGGAAGAAGAAAATGTTCTAGAGTTGAATATGTTGACAATTGTACAACTCTTCTGGATGTGATTGAATTATTGAATTGTATGACATGTGCATGAAGTGCTAATAAAACTGCTTTAAAAAAAGTCTCACCATCCTTGTTTTCAAGGAGCACTTTGACTGTACTTCTCCCCAGATAGGCCAGTTTGTCCATTTAGCAGTCGATGGTACTTTGAATAGTCTTCTCCAGCACCACAATTTAACACATTGATTCTTCTTTGGTCTTCCTTATTGAAGTCCAATGTTCATATGTACATGAGACCATAGAAAATACCATGGCTTGGCTCAGACATACCTTAATTCTCAAAGTAACATCCTTGATTTTCAACACTCTAAAGAGGTCTTATGAAGCATATTTACTTAATGTAACGGGTCCTTTGATCTCTTGACTGCTACTTCCATGTATATTAATTGCAGATCCAAGTAACACAAAATCCCTGACAACTTCAACCTTTTCTCCATTTATCGCTAGGTTATCTATTGGTCCAGTTGTAAGAATTTTGCTATTTTTTACATTGAGTTGTAATTCATACTGAAGGCCACAATCCTTGATTTTCAACAGCAGGTTCTTCAATTCCTCCTCACTTTCAGCAAGGAAGGTTGTTAATAAACCTTCCTGCAATCCTGATATCCTATTCTTCTTCATGTAATCCAGTTTCTCTGACTATTTGCTCAGCATACAGATTGACTAAGTATGGTGAGATGATACAACCCTGATGCACACTTTCCTGATTTTAAAGCATGTACTATTCCCTGTTCTCTTCCTACAACTGCCTCTTGATCCATGTACAAATTTCCCATGAGCGCCATAGACTGTTCTGGAATTCCCATTCTTCTCAAGGTTATCCACAGTTTGTTATGATCCACACAGTCAAATACTTGAGCAGAGTCAATGAAACACAAGTAAACATCTGCCCGGTATTCTCTTCTTTCAGCCAAAATCTGTTTGATGTCAGCAATATCCCTTGTTTCTCATCCCCTTCTAAATTTGACCTGAACCCTTGGTAGCTCCCTGTGGATGTACTGCTACAACCATTGCTGGATTATCTTCAGAAACAATTTATTTCCATGCCATAACAATGACATTGTTCTATAATTTGAACACTGCATTGGGTCACCTTTGCATTGGAATGGGTACAAATATGTATCTCTTTCAGTCAGTTGGCCAAGTAGCTGTCTGACAAATTTCTTGGAATAGATAAATAAATGCTTTCACTGTTATCAGCCTGTTGAAACAGTTCAATTAGTATTTTATCAATTCCGAGAGCCTTATTTTTGGCTAATGCTTTCAGTGTGGCTTGAATGAATGTCTTCCTTCAGCACTATTGGTTCTTGATCATATATTCCATCTTGAAATGGTGGAATGTCAACTAGTTCTCTATGGCACGGTGGCTCTGTGTATTCTTTCCATCTTCTTTTGGTGCTTCCTGCATCAGTCAATACTTTGCTCATAGAATCTATCAATACTGTAACTCAAGGCTTGAATTTTTGCTTGAGTTCTTTCAGTTTAAGATACGCTGAGCATGTCTTCCTTTTTGGTTTTATGACTGTAGGTCTTTGCACATTTCATTATAGTATTTTCTTTTGTCTTCTTGAGCTGCCCTTTGAAATGTTCTATTCAGCTCTTTGACTTCATCTTTTTTCCATTGACTCTAGCTAGTCTGCAATTAAGAGCAAGTTTCATAATCTCTTCTGACATCCACTTTGATCTTTTCTTCCTTTCCTATCTTTTTTTCTTTCCTGTCTTTTAATGACCTTTTCCTTTCTTCGTATGTGATGTTCTTGAGCTCATCCTAGAGCCCATCAGGGCTTCTGTCATTAGTGTTTAAGGCATCAAATATGTTCTTGAGATATTCTCAAAATTCAGGTGGGATATATATAATCAAGGACATATTTTGGTTCTTATGGGTTGCTTTAATTGTCTTCAGCTTTAACCTGAACTTACAAATGAGAAATTGATTTTCTATTCTACAGTCAAACCCTGGCTTAGTTTTAGCTGCTGATAATGAATTTCTTCATCATCTCTTCCAGAAAATATAGTCAATTTTCTTTCTTTCTTTCTTTCTTTCTTTCTTTCTTTCTTTCTTTCTTTCTTTCTTTCTTTCTTTCTTTCTTTCTCTTTCTTTTTTGGTGATCCAAGTGAATTTTTTATAAAGGATCAAAGCAGTTTCAGGCATTACAGTAAACGGAACACAAGTGAGGGGGAGGAAGAGAGAGAGAAAAAGAGAAACAGAGTGTCAATTTTATTTCCGTGTAGTTCATCTGGTGAAGTCCATGTGTGTAGTTGGTGTTTATGTTGTTGAAAAGGGGTATCTGCAATGAAAAAGTCATTAGGCCTAAAAAATTCCATTAGGAGATCTCCAGCTCTGTTTCTTTCTTTCTTTTTTGTTTAACACTTTTATTGGCACGTCACATGTCATACAATTTGAGTTAGTTAATTGTGTCAACCTGGCCGATAAACACATGTGAGGCTAATTGAAAGGCGGAGGGATAAATGGGTGGTGAGCCTCACCTTTCTAGTTCTCGTGTCTCTTGCTTTGTGATGGTTGCACAGGGTGCAGCTGCCTTAGAAGTTCCCTGCTTCAG